AAAAAAGAGATCAGGCCTGTGTATATTGGCACAAAACCTCAGCTCTGGTCCTGACCACAGCCTGCAAGTGTCACTGCAGGTACAGATGACACATCTGCTTTACATATTCTTGCAGGTTTATGGTGAGCTTTCAAACAATAAAAGTAACACCAGTCCAGTCCATGAAATCCTAAATTACAGTGTCGGAAGCAATCTGATTTTCAAATGAAACTGAGTTACACAAATACTCAGAGATTTGAAATAAATGGGAAAAAAATCCTTCTTCACCTCTATTATCATCATAAAAGTATCACGAGCACAAACCCATCCATTCTACACACCCACTCCTAGGTGATCTCTGACCATGACACATTTTTCTCTGAGTCAGTTCGCTCCTGATTAGAGAAAAAGGAAAAGATGCTTTGTCATCAGTGCCTGGTACACAGACACCTACAGCAAGCACCTTTCCAGGACTCTGCCTGCTTGGTAATTCCTAGCACCTACTTTGTATCTCCCTACACTTCAAATAGGCATGCAACAATTCTCAGTAGCTCCTGGTGAAATCACAGAACAATGCAGAACACACTTTCAAGTTTCCAGGTTGGCCCATAAGGACTTTGCCAGAATTCAAAAGCTCTCCAGAGACAGAGGCAAATATAACTGAGAGACCTACCTAATTAAGCATCACTAACATTTTGAATATAAAGTAGTTAATTCCCTGAAAAATAATTCAATTAATCACACTCTTATTAAGAGGGATGTATTTTCTTCTGATCATAGAGGCACACTTGTCCTGCTACAACACACGGAACAAAAAGCAAAGTGCTCCTGTAGAAAAGGTTCTGTATTCCCCTGCACTACAATTTTTAAAAAGACTGGTCACAAAATTTAGCCTACCTTATTCTAATAAAGTTCCTTCCTAATCCTTCACTGTAGACTTAGATTAAGAATAAAATCAGAAAAGAAAATATATATATATATTCTATATATAACTTAAAATGTTCCAATTGGGTGATTGTCTTGGACAGGCAGGGGTGAGGTCTCAGGAACAGAGGGATCTTGCAAGATAGCAATTCCTTTTTACTGTCAAAGGCAAATGAGAGTACACAGTACAGGGGTTTATGTTTCTAAAGAAAATTATATATTAAATATAAAGCAATCAAGAAACACTCTTGCAGAACCATTAAACAGAAGCCAAAACAATACAGTTGATTTTTTTTTTAAAAATCAGTGCCTTAATATGGTGGAAAAAAAATTTCTTCTCTTCTTTTCAACTGCCTAAGCAGTAACTTGAAGGATCAAGTGTTAAAATAAGAGAGCACCAGATGAGAGGAGTGGTCAGAGGTAGAAATCTAGATCAGATGCTTACTTTCAAATAAAAGAAGCAAAATACATTATTGCAGACTGCGAGCTCATTATTTATTAGCTGGTGCTCCAGCACAGAGCACATGCTGGGGGAGGGTAACTGTCATATTACACAGCTGCAGGCTGGGCTGAACTCTCACTAATACTATTTATTTTCTTCTGTTACACTGGATATTGCATCAATGACCTAAAATGCATTTTGATCAGCTGTCCAAAAAAAATTCCTCAAGTTTTTTACTGGAAGGTCAGCAAAGCTAACTTGAGGGAGAAGCCTTGTGAAAAGAAAGATTGTCTTGTGTCATCTCCCAAACTTCCTAAGACAGCAAACCACCTTGCAAACATCCAGGGGAAAAAACAGCTACCTTTAGTTTTTTCACATGTGACTGCACCTTAAACCAAGGGGATTCTGTGTATAAATTTGAGACACCTAAATTAAAACCTTACACCATTACACACCTTCAAAGTCTTTATTCATTTCAGTGGCAGGAGCAGGAGTCAAACCCCTCAGCAGCACCACCTCAGTACCCGTGACAAGTCCATTCAGGTGATCCCTGCTCGGCCTTGCCGTGCACAGAAGGCACCCAAGGGAAAAGGAAGTGCTGTGTTTATATCCCCTGGCTGCTTCACCAGAGCTGGAGGGATCAAATCTCAACAAAAAGCACCAAATTCACTCAGATTATCACAGACTCTAGAGACTCTGACTTTTGTTCCATTTGATCCATTGAAGAACACATTATTACACATGTGAAGTAATGTCTTTCCAACACAATAAATGTGAAAACTTAAAGCGATTTGTGCATTAAAAAGCACATACATTGCCACATGATGTTCCAATTAATTCAAAGGAAGATTTCTTTCAATGAGAAGGAAAAGCAGATCCCAGTGCTTTGCACACATTACCAACCTGGCTGCTGTCAGACCCGAGTAGGCCTAAAGGCCAAGGTTTATACAGAATATTTAATCCTTTAAAAATAAAAAAATTAACAATTTGGTGAGGCAAGTGATTTTTAGAAAACATACTTTTAAAAATTCAACTAAACCCCACAGACCTCTCTCAAGCAAGACACAACAAACCACAGTTATAACTAACGCAAGATACTCCTTATTTAGGAAAAAAAGTTGCCAAACTAATACGGATTTGCTCATTACACAGCATTAGACTACACTTCTTTCAGTACTCTGGAGAATTAATCAGCTGTGTTTTGTTAGGAGGGCATGGCTGAGAGCAGGCAAGGTAGCACGGCATTGTTCACAGAGCAGAGTGGTGCCTCCAGGCTCTCTGAAGCAGCACTTGGGCCCAGAATATACAGAATGACATCAACAAGTTATCTGAGAAACGTGGCCAACATTCTAAAATAAACCCATAAAATCTCCGCTGCCCACATTAACCAGTTTAAGGTGAACCACACACACTTCAGCTCAAAGCTTTCTAAATAAGATGAGTCTTCTGCCATAATGAGCCCTTTTATTCTCCAGAATTATTTCAAGTTTGAGTGCAGCCATGTCCTCCTCATTGTGCTAGTCCAACATGACTCAATTTCTCTAAGTTCATAAAATTCAATGTTGGCTTTCTTCTCCATCTGTGGTTTCACAGAGAAAGAAACTCATATTATAGGGATCTAAATCCAGGGATCTGCACATATGCAAAGCATTCCATGGCACCACTCACTCAGAGGTGAGCAGTGACCACATCGGTTAAAACACACACTGAAAACACAGAGCAGAACAAGCAAACAGCAAAAAAGCTGATGTATTTCTACCAACATCTCCAAATGTCTGCTCACAAATAAATCACAGAAAGGCTGCAATGTGCAAACTGGTTTAGATCAGCTCCAGGGGCAGAGAGAAGGAGTTTCATGTACACCAAAGCTGTCCTGAGGTAGAGCCTGTCCCTGACATTGAGGGATTCTTCCCATTTACCGACAATTCTCCTCTGCCACTGCACGTGGAGCCAGCTACAGATGTGGGCAAGAATTATGGAGGAGCAAAACAACTGACCAGGGCACTGGGTTGTTTTCTTTATGAAATTCCAAACTGAATGCCCTCAGTCAAAAAAGGCCCATCTCCAGCTGTTTAGCACCATTGTAATCCCTTAATATCTTGACAATTTGTTCATTCTCTTATTTTTTATTTGCTGGCTTAACAAGTATAGAATTTTAAAATAACATTTAATAATTATATCCTTTAGTGAACAAAAGCACCGACATTACATCCTTTATTATAATTTATTATAATCCTTCTAAATTATGTAATTGAATAACATGTCACTTTGCACATATTCTGGTACCTCAATGAAAAAAAAAAAATAGTTTAAATTAGGAACTTCACACCTCTCCCCCAAATGCAAATCACCTGTGAGATAGGAGGAAAAAAAAAACCCTAAATATTACATTCTCACACGTAAAAGGCACTTAAAATAATTTTAAATACAGACAGATGACAAGAATGTTGCCCTGACATCTTTTGCACGGGTATTTAAATACCAGATAGCAATAAGAAGAGACCAGAATTATCTAACAAAATATAGCTGTCTAGTTCCTAAAAATAAAAAAAAAACTTGCATAAGGAACAATTGTGTGTAGACAGTTCACATAATAAAGGTTGAAAGTATACAGCCTTCTTCATGTTAGATAAAATTTTCCTAGACTGTGAAAAAGGTATAAAATAAATACATCTACATTATCAATTCCATACCAAACCACTTTATTTTCTTTACTACTGTTTACAAATTATTCCTTTTCCTTCCTCCTTTGTACTTCCCAAAACCCCTTTCCCCCACTGCTCATAATAATTTTAGTCGTTGTTGTATGGCTATGGGACACGATGTTTTTACACTAAAAAATTTTTAAAGCCCTCTTAATAAATTATCTTTTTATTTCCCCTTACAGAACTCCAATCACTCAACTCTGAAATTAATCACCTGTCAAACAAGGCACTATGGTCAGTCTTTCTGAGCAATTCCACTCTCCTCGCCGCTTAGCATCTCAAAAGCAAGTAAAAATTTATTGCAAAAGACAGCTCCGTAAAGTTAAAAAAATTAGTCTTTCCAGTCAGAAGCGGAGCAGTCCTTTTTCCTCACGACTTCTGCCGCTGCACACAAAATCCTGCCGTACCTTCAGCCTTCTCCCTCCGGGCAGAACACCCTCCGGTGCGCGCGTCGGGAGCGCTTCTCCCGGCACCGCCGCTGCCGGCGCTCCTTCCTGCGGCGCGCAGCCCCCGAACCCACCGCTCCCTCTCCCCCGGCCGCTCCCGCCGCCGCATTCCAGGGACGGGCTCCCGGGGAGCCTTTTCCTGTCTCCTTCCCCAGCGACACCCAGCACAAAGGCTCCTTTCCCCGCTCCCCGGCCGCTCCAGGGCCGCGCACCCCACCCTCCCTCGCGCCCCGGGCGGATCGGCCGGCCTGGCCCGTCAGCGTCCATCCCCTCCCGCAGGAAGTTCTGGGCAGGCCCCGGGAACTCGCCCACCGCGGGACCCCGCCGGCTTCCCCCGCTCCGCTCCCTCAGAGCGGGATGGGGCCGGCGGGGGGGGACGCTCCTTCCTTTCCCCCTTCCCTCCCACCACCCCGCCGGCCGCAGCCCCGGCCCCGGGCGAGCCCCGGGCTGAGGGAACACGCCCCGCGGCCGCGCGGAGCCGGGGCCCCGGGACCCCTCGCTCACCGCCGCTCCCGCTCGCTCCGCTCCCGCCGCGGCTCCTCAGGAGACACTGACACCGGCGCACGGATACCGCGCCGCGCTATTTTTGGGAAACAAGGCCCGACCGCGGCCGGAACTACAGCTTCTGTCACACTCTCCTCCGGTGTCCTTCCGCACGTTTCTCCGCGCAGCTCCGGCGGGGCCGAGGGCGCTCAGCGGCGCCGGGCAGGGGCGGGACGGAACGGGGATGGCGGGGAGGGGCGCGGTGCCCCTGCGGCGGGCGGTGGGACGGGCACGGCCGCGCTCCGCGCTCCAAGCATCGCCGGATTACTTTGTTGGTCCGGGGAGCGGCCGGGTCTACATTCCTGCCCCGCCGACCCGCCCCGGAGTGACGGCGCGCACAGCCAATCGCAGCGCCCGTACGGGGCAGCGCGCCAATCAGAGCGCAGTTGGTGGGCGGGGCGCAGCGAAACGTGGACGCCTTGAGTGACAACAAAGCGCTCAATCAGAAATGCGGGGTGGGAATCGACAGCCAATCAGAGCCGAGGGAGGGCGGGGCCGTTGGGAAGGGAACGCCCCCTCCTGGCGCTCGGTGGACGCGCATGCGCAGAGCGCGGGGCCGGGTGCGCGGGCGGTGACGCAGCGGGCCCGGCCCGCCCCGAGCGGCGCCTGCGCCAAGGCGGGGCCGGACGCGGATTTGGGGCGAATAAAACAAATCCGGGGAGAGCCCCGTGCCCCCCGTGCCGAGCCGGCAGCGGGGCACCGGCTGCCCCACGGAGAAACAGCTCAGCTGCCCGTGTGTGTCACCCTCAGACACCACCACCGCCTCCCCAACACATGGCTATATATATATATATATATATATTTAGTGTGTATAAAGACACACTCTATACTCTATAGAAATATTTTTATTTATAGTGTATCTATAAACACAGCGTGTCTAGTATATATGGAATATATAAAATATATATACTAATATCTAATATTTTATATATATGCAATATATATATATATGTATTATGCATACATATGAGAGAAATAGCCACTGGTAAAATTGAGCAAGGACAAGGTTGTAAAAGCAAAACTATTAATATAAAGTCATTACTATACTAAATATATGAAGTATATATATATATATATAATATGCACTATAAATACATGTATGGTATACAGTGTATATACACTATATTAATTCTACCCTAAATATTAATTCTATACAATATATCGAATTGTATGTATAGTGACTATCTATTGTACAGATACAGATTTAAAAATTACTATTTTTCTGCCTGGCTTTCTGTGAATCTCCCAGCTCTGAGGACGTGAGCTGTGCCTCCAGGTTCAGACAAAGGTGGGAGTCCAGCTCAGCCCCACCTGATGCTTCCATCCCCAGCTCACGTTGTCTCTGCCAGGGCTCCCATTAATTCTGCTCCAAGCAGAAGAGACGACTCGGGAATACATCATCAAAGCCACCAAATGGGCGTCCTTCTCCTTCACAGAAGGCGGCAGCTGAAGAGCGACCCAAAAATAAAATTTTGATGATAAAATGATACTTGCCAAAAATCATCTGCGCTCTACAGCTCTTCCAGATTTATCCTGTGAGATACCCACAGGCTCCGAGTGGAGCGACAGGAGCCATTTCACAGCTCCAAATCACTGCAAAGGGCACAGCTCTAATCAGGGCACCAGAACCAAAGGTGCCGGCTCTGAAAAACAGAGATCAGAGGGGTTTCTTTGTATTTGAAAATTAATATCATCAGCTGAACACAAAAAGGTAGCTCCACAGAGGGTTAGGGAATAGGGTGGCAGAAATTATGACAAAAATTCCCTTCTGGCAGGGTGCTGACCACACCAAGGGATAGGAAAAGGTGGATCCTCCATGATCATTCCCAAAAAGTGAATGCAAATTTCTGTTGTCTCTTTCCAGAAGTTTACCATGAGTGGAAACTAATTCACAGCTCTCAGGTAAGTTGGAGTTCAGGGTTTGTAATGTACAGATTAGTTTGGATTTTAAAGTGCAGCTAGTGAATAAGTTGAACAGCTTCTGAAACATCCACCTTTTGTTCAAAACAGAAATGCAAGGACACTTCTTCTTGTGGATCTAAGAAAAATATTACAATAAGTGAAAAAGACAACAAAACATAAATATTTGCCATCTACAATCATATTTCCAAGCTGATTGTTACTGGTCTGTAACAATCAGGAAGATATTTAAATACACATTTGTTTTCAATTTCAACATGAACAGTCTAAATGTCATTGATTTTCATATGAATATGATTTATTCTCTCCTTCCTCACTATACCTATCATCCATAATACCTGTAAGGTCTATTACTAGAATCTAATGATTAATAACACAAAATCCTCTCTTGACAGCAATATGCTGAGAAGATGTTAAGATAAAATACTGAATATTTAAGTTATAAAAGTCAGTGGGAATCTGAGTAAGACATTGAAGGAAGGCCTGAGCAAGGACTTCTGGATATACTCATGAAATATTTTCAATACATATTATTCCAAGCTGGCAAAAAATAGAGCATGAAGCCAAAGAGATAAATAATTGGTTCTAGTCTGTCCTTTTCAGTGGCACCACAAGAATAAGCAGAGCATGTGTTGCTCAAGGGATTTCTCTATGAGCCTTGCAAACAATACTTCAGGGGCACAGTGCAGCCTCCTTCCCACCGAAATGCTTTCCTGTCCTGATGGAAACACTGCCCTGGGTAACAATTGAGAAAAGGAAGTGCAAAATTCAGGTTGCAGTTGGAATTCCTGATGCTTTTCCCATGTGTGGTGATGTGCTGCCACATCTGCCCCTGCAGAACCCTCGTGGGACTGGCGGGGACCCAGGATGGGTGGTGGGGAGGGCACAGATGTCCTGACGTGTCACAGTGAGTGAAAAATGTCACCCCTCAGGCTGAAAAAAGCCACAGAAGAATTGGTGCATTAAAATCCTGAATTCACTACCTCACCTGATGGTTCTGCATTGGGTTTAATTTCCAGGACAACTGCAGAGGCCAACTTCTCCTGGGTAATACAGAAGGTGCAAAACTGTAAATAATAAATCAAAATGTACACAGCAGAGAAAAAATGGCAATCTTTGTAAGACTCTAGAAGCAGCAACATAAGAAAGCCCCAGAAAACATCACACTGGAGTGTCAATATGACAAGGGAAAAATTACCACAAGCATCTGCCAGGATCACTTCTGTGAGAAAAGGGACCAACAACTGAGTGCATTTCTGCCCATCTTATGTACAACCCAGAGAATAAGAAGAGCCCCCTGAAATCTCTTCCCGTGGCCAAATAGCAGGCACTGCAATTTCCATGATATCCAAAGAGAAATAAACTCAGAGCAATAGCAAATATAAAGAAAGATAAGGAGAAAAGATAGCAGCATTCTTAATTTTAACTAAATAGCCTCAGAGTTGTGTAGAGTCATCATCCAGCAGTTGTTATGGCAATAAAGCTTTCCCTTGCATCTCTATTCCAGTGCATTTCCACCCACCCATTCAAGGTATTTTGGAGGCACTATCACCAAAATCAGATCTCTACTAACTTTCAACTTACATTTTAGGACCTTCTTACCATCCATTCCAGAGATGTACCATGGCTTTTCCTCCTTTCAAATGCTCCTTATATTCCAGAAATCAGCTTTTTACTCTTGTGTCCTGGAGAAGAGAATCTGAGCCCCATGCTTCTAGAGGTGAATGTTACATAAAACCAAAATGCAGGACTTTTAAAATCATAGCTGAGAGGAGTAGGGGATGTTATGTAGGTTTTGAATGTTTGCCAAACAATTAAGTTACCCTTCAAAGGGAAGGGGGGGGTCTAAGAACAAGGTTTTCAGAACAAGGTTCCTACAAATCACAGGCCAGATTAATTCCTAACATTGTTCCACTTACAATGGGGGAAACACTCTGTGAATTAAGATTTTGTAAAGGACTACTGATTGCAACAAAACCGAATTGTACTCACAGCATTTCAGGATGGGAACTCACATCAGAAACAAAGGAGAGGGGCAGGGGGGACTCCCACCTAGGGAGCAGGAAATCAGAGAGGAGCAGATAATGGCTGCTGGCCATTAAGGCTTTGGGTAACCCTGTTAACCCCGTGGTCACCTCAGCACAAGCCCTGCCTGTCCTCTCGGGAGCTGGCTGGGAACAAACTCCCCTGAGCTCCCTGTCTGTGCTCAGGAGTGCTGCTCTTACACTCTTTGGCCCTGATGTTCCACTACACGCAGATAAAAATCAAGATTTCCTTATTTTACTGAAGTCCAAGTTACCTGACAATGCATGAATTAAATTCACTCAATCCATCCCATAAACTGCTCTCTATAAACCACCAGTATTTCCACATCATTATATGGTATACTCACTAATCTGATTGCCTTGGGAATATTTGTTTTTCCAAAACTTGTGGCCAAGGTACATAAGATTAGATCAGACACAGCTTGTCTAAGAATGCTGTTATGTGGGTGTACAGTGTATTTGCTAGTTTTGAGTTACAGGTAAAGATACTCTTTCAAATTCTTCCAGCCAGGGGTGTGAGCCCAGTTCCCTGAAGTTTTCTGCTGCAGCACTTGGAACTTTACATTTTGCTTTGCTCTCGGTGTCCTAACACTGGAGGATCAACAGGGGAAATGCTGGTGTTGCCTCACCAAGGGCACGCCTGGCCCGGACCTCAGCAAAATTTGTGATATTTTATAGGTCCCCACAAGTCTCTCTGGGATTCACGCTCTTCTGCTGGGATTTTCTCACCATTCTGCATGTTAACATGAACCAACAGCTGGGTTTAGGAGATGGGATATAAATAGCAACATCATGCTGCGAGCAAGCTTCTTGGAAAGTAAAGAAAATACGTTATTTAATGCACTCTGACATTTGCTTTTCCTCCCCTCATTCCTAAGCTGCACTCCTGTAAACACCCCTAATGACAGATGCAAAGAAGTGGACTTGTTCACATGGACACAACAAGTGCTGCCTTGAGCCCAGGAGATGATATCCAGAACCTTTTACCTCTCCTCAGCTGGCAGCCCCTGCACAGCAGGGAAAGGAGGCAGAGCGTGGATGGAAATTCCTGCTTCCAGCAGCACTCAAGATTACAACCTTTGGTATTTTATTTTCATGGTTGCTCCATGTTGCTTCAGAAACTTCCTGCTTTTGCCATATCTTTCCATTCATTAAAGTTGCAGCTTGCAATTAAACATTCTGACATAACATAGCTGAGATTTTTTGGCAGCAGCCTTAACCAGAGGTTTTCAGAGTTTCCTGCAGACGGCT